TCCGAGTTTGCATCGGCTACGACACTCTCCCCAGGCTACTCGACTCTCTGGCTGCTATTAAAAAAAAAAAAAAAAAAAGGGAATGCATCTGGCCAGTGGCTCAGCCGGGTTCATTAGGGACTAGGTGAAGTGCTCGAGGGCGAGGAAGAACGGAAATGCTACGAAGGCGGCAAGCAGAGCAACGAGAGAGAATCTATGGGAGTATGGAGAGAGGGAAAGTACGGTATCGGCAGGGTGAGTAAACGCAGTAAAAGAGGAAAAGGGAGAAGCTTACCTATATAGCAGTATTGACGTGCACAGGCGCATTGATATCAACAGGGCGAAAATGAGGGTGTGGGGAGCAAAGGCACTCACCTGATGGAATGAGGGGCGAGTGCACGCTCTTGTTATTAGTTCATGTGCACCAGGACAACAGTAAGGTTGGGTTCATTATAAGGGAGAAGAGTCCCTAAAGGGGGAGGCCCATAAGGGAGAAAGAAGTCAAGATGGAGGTAAGACTGAAGGGGGGGGTGTCGACATGCAGTTGGAAGAGTGAATTCATTGCTTCAAGCTGATGCTACTAGTTCTGACTTTAAAGTGCTGCTACCCGCTAAGCCTTGACTACCGCTGCACCTCAACGCAAGTTGGCGTTGCGGCCGCTGTTGAGGTCTGCCCACAAGTTGCTGTTGGCCTCTGTGCTTTGTTTTCAGGCGGCAGTCAAGGCAGCGAAATTCTTGAGCTGCAACATACGGACCGTTGACATCCAGTAGTAGCATCTAAACTGATTGACTTCAACTCCTCGTGATTACACAGTAAGGTGTCGCTATGACAGCAAGGCAACTGCGGCGGGTTGCCACTACTATAGTCTGGGAGCTATCGTTGCTATAGCACCGCAGGAGGAGCTACTGCTGTTTTGCTCAATTTCAAGATTGTTGACTGTCCTTAGAGCTACTCTTGTTGATAATTGGATTGCCACCCCTACCTAATGTCCATGAGCTGCCACGACTGGGTCTTACGTCAGTTGCTGCTGACAGATTCTCTTATCTGTTGCTGCCTTTGTGGTCTGAGGATTTCAAAATCTGCCCCGGCTAGCTGCAGAAGGACCGGGCGTGAGCCAACTTGTCGGTGAGGGGCAGCGACTGTGTATTCCTGATTGTACCCATGAACAGCTAGATCCTGCCTGTGTATTTGGTGCAAGGCCATTCCGTGTTATCTGGGACTCTGCTTTTTATTGACTGCTGTGTTCGATTACCATGCATACTATGCTTGGGGCAAACGGTGTTGATACTGTGCACTCAGGCGAAGGCGTTGTAGCCCCAACAATGGCGGACTATGACTGTTGGGCAATCAGGAGGCGGCTGTTGCGGGTTTCTGCACCAGTGGGCTGCTAGTGGTCTGGTCTGCTGTTGCGAGCCTGTGGGTTGCTGGCCTTGAACACCTTGCTAACGGTTGGTTGGTTACTAAGTTGAGGGGATAGTGAGTGGTCGCGGTAGTTGGAAGTTGGAAGTTGGACGTTGAGGCTGAGTACTTGGCCGCTGTTACATTTTGATCTTACCATGTTTCATACTATTGATGCGCGTTGCTGTTGTACATCGCCGCTGCGCTAGGTTGCTATGGCCTGAATCTGAATAGGGCACAGGGGTGTGCTTTATTCGAACGCGGCCCTTTCCACGTGTTGAGGCGGGGTAGCTTAGAGTGTGATCAGATACGGCAGAAGAGGGGTTACTGCTGCAGCACGGAGGGCTGTTGGAGGCTGTTGTTCGACATCCAGACTAGGATCTGTTCCTCTCTATCGCATTCCCTTGGGCACAATTGCGGGGCCCTCAGGCGAGTCAAGGCTTCAAGGCCCTCTCACGCGAGTCTGAGGGCACCCATTTGAGAGTCTGACTTAAGTCTAAGTCTAGTCTTTTGGTGCCGAGAGGGAAGCGGCAGGCGGGATTGCAACCCGTAGGTCCGCATCAAGGCCTTTGTGGGAGGTTGCCTCACCGATTGCGGGAGCTCTGCCAGAGCCCAGGCGGGGTTCTGGAGGCAGGGAACACTCAGGTATAACTTTTGCCTGACGCGTGTGAAGCTTTCCCCTAACTACTATTATTCCTTTGGGTATCTAAATATAATTACGAAAGACTATTACTTTTTTCTAGTTTGCTATGTTTGTCAGGACATGCAATGCAAAGGTTTAATAAACAAGTATATATGAGAATTCAAATACCTTTTGAGAATTCAGACAAAGGAATTGGGGGAAGGTGGGATGAAGGAGTTTTTGCATGCGTCTGACCAGGTCAAACCCAGGCTGAGTCCCTCCGGGTGGATGTGGGCTCAGTGCTATGTTTTGTTGAGGTTTGTTGTATTGAATGAACGACTTTTATGGCTGGTCCACCCGGGTGGGATAGGATCAGTCGCTGTTTTATTTGAGGGTTTCTGAACAGGAGGACGGGCACCCGGGGTGGGGAAGGCTCAGAATCCTAGTGTTTATTTTAATGAGTTGTGGTGCGTGTTTTCTTCTGAGGGAGTAACGGCATAAGACTAAGCGTACCCTAGGGTTAGGGCGGCTTAGCCATGAGCCATGAACTAAATGGTCAACCAGAGCATAAAACTTGATATATATACAATTTGAACTTATACTTCTGACAGACTGGGCGCCCCGGGTGGGGAAAGCCAGTCAGTGAGTCAGGTAGAACTAAAGAAGAGGGAAAGAGATGNTTAGGGCGGCTTAGCCATGAGCCATGAACTAAATGGTCAACCAGAGTATAAAACTTGATATATATACAATTTGAACTTGTACTTCTGACAGACTGAGCGCCCCGGGTGGGGAAAGCCAGTCAGTGAGTCAGGTAGAACTAAAGAAGAGGGAAAGAGATTAAGAGTAAAATGAAGGTAACTTGGCAGACTGAACGTACCCTAGGGTTAGGGCGGTTCAGTTATATGCTCATGATAACACTAAGGAGCAGAGAGTTAGTATAAATCTGATTTTATTTCCCCTTCTAGACATGAGGCTGAATAGGAAGTTCCACTAGTTGGAAAGGTCCGATTGACTGCCTAACAAGAGAAGGAAAAACATAAAGTCTGTGAAAGTATTGGTACCCTATTTTCTGTTGTATGGCTAACTAGGCGTACCCTAGGGTTAGGGCGGCCTAGCGATAAGCCTTTGTCGTTTAATGTAAGTTGGACGTACCCTAGGGTTAGGGCGGTCCAGCGTTTCGGTGTTTATAACTGTTCAGGCAGATCAGGCACACCCTAGGGTTAGGGCAGCCTGATCACATTGCGTTATGTAACTTAAATTGTATGGCTAACTAGGCGTACCCTAGGGTTAGGGCGGCCTAGTAATATGCCTTTGTCGTTGATGTGCTGTGGGTTGGACGTACCCTAGGGTTAGGGCGGTTCAACTTTTTGTCGTTTGTACTTATGTTCAGGCAAGTTGTCGAGCGCATCGGTCCCGCTAGGGGACCCTCCCGGCCGCGTCACGCAGGATTTGGCAAGACTTCCATCGCGGAGTGCGAAGTGCCGCTCCGGCCGAGTGTGCCAGCCGTACCTCTCGCGAGTCCCTGCGACAGGACAGAGCCATGCGAGGCACCGCTTTACCTCCACCTGCGGGAGCTGTCACCATCCCTTAGGTGGGCGTATCCCCGCCGAGCTACTGAACCACATGCGAAAGCTTTTCGTATGCAATTGCAGAGGTGGCCCAGCCGAGGGCGTTTCTCGTTCGCTGTAGCATAGGGGGTCACGCGCGGTCGAACGCCCAAGAAATCGAACCCGCACGCGAATCGATGTTTTGGGGGGCTGAGGTCCCAAACGCGACTCGGCGTCGGTCGACTAGGACGCATCACGCACACTACGCGTACACCACAACACTCACATCTACCCACACATAACACATGGAAAAACACAAAACAAAACACAACATCACAACACTCCTAGTCCCTTCAGTATCTGACCCATAACTTCATGGTGTGGAAATCGGTAAGTGTCGCGCGCGCGGGTTAACATAAGGCCGCGCGACCACAGGACTTATGCTTATCGACCAACAATGCGGATTTTGCGTAAGCAATCGTGCTGTCGGCGCACCATGTAATGCTCATACCCGAGTGGCCTCGTTTAAGCCATGGGGTCGCTTTCGATGCTCAGGCGTCGGCTGAAGCGTACGCTAAAGGGGGTAAACCTTTAGCGAGCGCAAAATCCGGCCTAAGGGCCTTACCGTCTTCAGCACCCTGAGGTGTCCCAAAGGGTGCGTGGTAAGATGGTCCCTAGGGAAGGAAGGGATTCGGAGCGGTGGTGAGTTGTCTGGCGCATCACCAGCGACACGATAATCCTTCCGCCCGAAACTTTATCGATCCACCCGGGGATCTCGGCTGCCTACCGGGGTCCAAAGTGAACGAACCCAGGTTAAGAGCAGACTGATGATTCAGGCAAAACGACAACCCTTGATGAAGAAGTTTGATAATGATATGAGTATTGTGCTATCTTCGATGGCCTAACAAAATTTATTTTTGATTGCGAGTAAGGTTGAGAGTGTGGTTTGTGTGTATTCGTTTCAAATAATAGAGTCGGAATTACGATATAAAGACCGGATAGACTACCTTAGTTATTAAAAGCATGTTTGATCGAATAACGGAGCTAGAGAATTTAGAGGTTTGACGGCAGGTTGTTTGTCGAAATCGTTTTTTCTTCGCAACAGGTCTTGAGGAAGGACAAAGATGCCGGACTCAGATGGAATTGAGCGGGGCCCGGGTGCTACACCCGAGGACTTCGTCAAGGCTTTGGAAAAGAGAGAGATGGCACGGCTTCAGGTGCCCAAGGTTAACATCTTCCACTTCAATGGGGATAGGGTGTCCGAGTGGCTTGAGCTGTTGGAACAGGTCACTTGCGAGGCATCAGAGGCAGACAAATTCAAGCTGATGCCTAGGTACGTATGGTGGGAGCTTAGACCTGAGGTAATGAAAGTAGCGGCCGACGCAAATGGTGAGTGGGCAAGGTTTAAAGAGGAGATGCAGAGGCGTTTCAAGTTAGGGGACGGCCTGCTCACAAAAGAAGACATGGAAATGTTGAGACGGGACGAGTTCTCCACGGTGGGAGCCTTTGCCACAGCATTTGAGAAGATGGCAAAGAAAGTCCCAGGGATGGCAGAAGAAGAACAATGTGCCACTTTCCTAGGGCACTTCAAGAATTGGGAAGCCTCGTCGCTAACCAAGAAAGTTGCGCCAGGAAAGAAACTGACTTGGGGTGCCATAAAAAAAGGCGTGCTAGAGGGAGAGTTGGACCAGGTAGACATCTTCCAGATGAGACAGGCTAGGAAGAAAAGGAAGACTTTGGATACTATCGCTAGTGATGGGCGCAACTTCAAGCTAATGATAGAAGAGGCTGTGGCCCAGCACGATGCAGAGAAGGATGCAAGAAAGAAGGCTATGGCGGCGCCACAAGCCCAAGGGAAAGGAAAGAAGGTGGCAGTGCTAGAGGAGGAAGAAGAAGAAGAGGAGCCTGAGCCACAAAAGTTGACAAAGGCTCAAAGGAAGGCAAGGCTCAGGAAAAGGTCAAGCCCCGCAGGCTGTGGCGATGCCACCCCCAGAGTCGTCCGGTCAAGCCGCACCAGCGCCCTATGGATCATGGCCAGGTTGTGGACCTCCCAGTCATTGGCATGGGCACTGTTCATATGCACCATGGCCAAGGGGCGGGCCGCATGGATCATGCGCCGGAGCGCCGATGAGTACTGCTTCCTGTGGATGGCCGGGACCCCAGTCTCAACAGGTGAGTCACTCGAACCCACCGCCAAGCCAACCTCAGCAGTCGGCCCCACAAGAATCACAAGGGAATCAAGGTGGTGGACGAGGACAGAATCAAGGAGGGGGCCGAGGGCGAGGAAATGGTGGTCGCGGGGGATATGGGAGAGGAAACGCGAACAGTAACTCCCAGAGAGGAGGAAGTGACAGGTGGAACGGTGCGGGGAATCAGAGTGACCAGCAAGGCGGTGGAGGATATGGAAGAGGAAGGATAGATTGGAGAAATGCCATCTGTTGGCATTGTGGCCAGAAGGGCCACACAATTAAGTTTTGTCAGGTCCGGAAGAGTGATGAAAAGGATGGCCTGATGAGTTCAAGCTATGATGGTGATTTTTTCGACATGTACGGTGAGTGCATAGACCCGAGAATCCCAGGGGGGGTAAGGGAAGAAGCTCTACGGCGTGCTAATGCCCCAGCTCCACCAGCCCCTCCGGCCGCTTTCCGTATTTGGCAGGAAGTAGAATAGCAGGTCTGTATTTACAGGGACTGCGTCAAGCGAGGTTGTCGAGATCGGCAGGGTAAAAGTAAGGAGTTGCTTCTTTGTAATGCCAGATCTTAATCACCCTATTCTGCTGGGCCGATCATTCCTAAGTAGGACTGAGACTCTCATCATTAATAAACATGATGGGACCATGTTCTTGGCACTTTGCGACCCTGTGTGTGGAAATTATGAGGTAATTACATGTAAGAACACATGGCCACGAAGTATAAGGAATCGACCCAACCCCGGCTCTTTTACTATCGAAGAGTCAGAGGAAGAAAGGATGAGGATGGAAGGCGGAGAGTCTGAAGGAGATGATCCATCAGAGGCTTTGACACTCAGCCTGGCAAACATACGGGATGCTATGGACATAGTATCCATCTATGGAATGGCAGACCTTGTGGCAGTAGAGGCCCTCAGGGAAAAGGTGATGGAGAGGAGAGGTGAAGGTGAGGCAGAACTCGTTATCGAGTGCCGGGGAGGGTAGGTGGAACCGCAGGAGCACACCCCCAAACTGCAACTCGGCCTTTTTTAGGGGTAAGCTCAAGCAGGGTTCACAAAGGCGGTACAAAAGGGTAGATCAGAAGTGTCGCCCTGTTCCCGTACTCGTCGCTGAGGAAAAAGAAGTTTATTACGAGCGCGAACGAGAGTTGATACGACAGATGCGAGAGGACGCACAAAATGGGCCATGTCGTATCACTCCTGAGACAGAAAAAACGCTGATTATAGGGGAGCCCGGCTTCCTTACGGCGCAAGAGGAGAAGCTTATGGTAGAGACCATAAGAGGAAGGCATATGCCTTCAATGATGATGAACGGGGTCGTCTAGATGTGGATAGAATCCCGATGATTAGGATACATACCGTTCCCCACGAGCCATGGAACTTGCGGGGTGCGCGGTATCCTAATCCTGCTGATGAAGAAAAGGTAGTTAGCTACCTTGACGGAAAAATCCGCACACATGTGTCCGACTACTCGAGCGGACCGTATGCATCCCCTTGGTTTTGTTTCGTCAAACCAAACGGGACCTTGAGGTGGGTACAGGATTTGCAGCGCCTAAATGCTGTAACTGTGAGAGATGCAGGTGGTCTCCCTAACGCAGATGCGCTTTCAGAGGCATGAGTTGGGAGAGCCATCATATCTCTCATAGACTTATATTCTGGTTACGATCAGTTTTTTGTTTACCCCTCTGACAGGCCAATGACGGCAATGCATACCCCTCGAGGGTTAATTCATATGAACGTCGCACCACAGGGGTGGACAAATGCAGTCGCCATGGTCCAGAGGCACATGGTGAGGGCAATGCAGTCAGTAAGCCCTCACATTACTCAGCCTTACATTGACGATCTGGCCGTAAAGGGCCCTAAGGAGAAGAATGAGCAGGAGGTGATGCCAGGGGTTAGACGTTTTGTCTGGAACCATGTGCAAGACTTGTGCAGGGTCCTAGACTTGCTAAAGGAGCATAACCTCACTGCAAGTGGGTCTAAATCAAGGCACTGCATGAGCGGGGCCACCATCTTGGGGTTTGTGTGCGACAAGAGGGGTCGTCGACCAGACACTAAGAAAACCAATAAGATTCTCGAATGGCCAACCCCATTCGAGACTATTACGGAGGTAAGAAGCTTCCTCGGAACATGTGGGTTCTGGAGGATCTTCATAAAAGGGTTTGCGGCAAAGACTGAACAATTACGAAAGCTTGTGCGCCAAGGACAAGACTGGGAGTGGGGAGATAAGCAGGAGTTGGTAATAAAGGGCCTAAAGAAGGAATTCGAAGAAAATGGTGACAGCTCCCGCAGGTGGAGGTAAAGCGGTGCCTCGCGTGGCTCTGTCCTATCGCAGGGACTCGCGAGAGGTACGGCTGGCGCACTCGGCCGGAGCGGCACTTCGCTCTCCGCGACGGAAGTCCTGCCAAATCCTGCGTGACGCGGCCGGGAGGGTCCCCTAGCGGGACCGATACGCTCGACAACGCGCCCCGGAAAATGCAGGAGCGAGCCCGCTCTTACCTGCCCGCGATGACAATGGTGGAGTGAGGACCCCACTGACTGGTATGTCATTCTGATTAGTACACACGGGAGGCAGGTGCAATCAGGAGCGCACTAATTGTGTCAAAAGCGGCCTAATGGAACAGATATCTAAACCAGATTCGCCCAGTTTGGCCCTACGAGTAGATGCTCTCACTCCATGGTTAATTGTGAGTGAACCCGCCAAGATAGCAGCCAGGTACGTGCTATCTGGGATTTAGAAGAATGTAGATACGCCGAGGCACATGCCCGCTGGATCTGCTTGAGATCGTAGCCAGGTGCATACTATCTAGGATCAATGTATCCTTCCCAGTTCAAGTTGCAAAATCTTTCTCAGCTCCTCATTGGTGAGTAGCAGAGCGGCTTTCCATGTTCTAGCTGAAAACACACGCAACCCTCTCCTGGTGAGTTATTGGGCGAGACCAAAATGCAGAGCAGACAAATAATCTGGCAATGCATCTTTCCATGATCTTGCTGCGGATTCATGTTATCTGGTACACGCTGCGGAGCAGGACACATAGGAATATATACGCGTATATAAATCAGTGTATCTATCCGTATTCTTGCTGAAGGTTCGTTTCACTGACTCATTGGTGAGTGAACGCTGCCCAGCCGGCTTTGGATCACGAATATGCCTGTGTATATTTTATCTTCTAGCTGCTGATTCTTTTTCACCCCCTCACTCGTGAGCAAACGCAAGTGATGCATTTTCCCATATTATTGCCGAAGATTAACCTCTTTACCACCTCTGATGACCAAATGAGCGGGACCGCAGCCCGCCCAATCATGTGGGCTAGCTCCAGAGAAAACGTTAGAGAAAAGGCAGGATGATGTACCAGCGAGTGCGCTGGATACCAGAGGGCACAGGTCATGAATTGGTATGGCACTAGTGGAAACAAACATTCTGTGCCCTCGCAATTGCTGAACTGGAGAAAATTCCGAAGCTGACACTTCCGTTGCTTCAAATTCCACAAATGTGCCTCCGCTTCAACACACTCCAATATCGATCACGAGAACCGTGTGCAACGTGCTACTTATTGAAACCGGCCGTGACTGAGCTTGAGGTTCACTCAGCGTTGATTGGACTGCTGCTGTCACTGTTATGAGGGAATAGTGATTGTCATTATTTCTTTTCTCATCCTTGGCTTGAAATTGTTGGCTGGTTGAAGTGAATTTCATATTTGAGATAAAATAGTGAGAACGAATTCACAGCAGGAAGACTACCAGATTCATGCATTCATGAGACTGCTTTTTTCATAAGAAGGCCATGCCAACATTCTGTTGGCACCTGGTGTGGCTTGCTGTCCAGGTGGATGCATGTGTGTGTGTGTGTGTGTGTGTGTGTGTGTGTGTGTGTGTGTGTGTGTAAAAGGGCCTTCACGAATCAGACCCCAAATGGATGCCCCAACAGCAAGGGGCCCTGTCGGTCAGAACATAAATTCACGAGCAGCAACCCAAAGACAAAGTTCCTGAGGCAAATGTCGCATCCATAATGAAGTGAAAAGTCGTTTTGAAAGGTCACAAACAGGTCCTGAACGAACAGGTATTGGACACCATTTTCGAGACTGAGTTAGGGTCATGACTCCTCGATGAAAAGTCATGACTGTTCGGCAATGAGTGAGGCTACAGTCCCAGTTCAGTCATAATCCCACGAGTCAGTCCTGATTCAGACCAGGAATCCAAAAGACAGGCCCGATGGCCCAAGCAGCAGCAGACCATGGGAAAAGATACTGGGACACACACTCTGCAACAATCGGTACTGGGCAGGAGTCCCAGGCACACTTGGGCCTGAATGTAGGCCACGCCAGACCAGTCCAGCACTATAAAGGACTGGCCAACCTCCCATTTGACAGCTGCTCACTTCGCATGAGAGTGTGGAAGTGTCGTGGCACTTGTGTGCTCACTTCGCATGAGAGTGTGGAAGTGTCGTGGCACTTGTGCGCTAGTTGTGTGTGAGCTGCGCTATGTTGAGAGCAGCGCTACGTGTGAAGAAGAGAAGGAAGGGCGCTGGCTGGAAGGAAGGCAGCCATAGCTGCACCAGCTCTAGTTAGTATGTTAGTAGGGATGGTCAGTAGGAGACACCAGTGAGTAGTATTCAGAGTAGATCCTCGTGTGATAGGGAGTGTGCATGCATGATGAGTGAAGAGTAGACCAGGACTATAGACCAGGAGAGAGAGAAGAAAGCAGACGAGAGAGGGGGAGGTGTGAGCTATGGTGATACTTATCTATTGAGCGCTGTTGTTGATGTTCGGCAGCTGGCGCTGATTAGCGCCAGGCCTGGAACTTATGTTGATTGAAGAAGAAAAACTCTGGTTGGCGCTGTACATTTGGGCTCACGATGTACCCTCTCTAATCTGGTTTGATTATTGAGTTGAGCTCCTGGTTCTCATTCATCTTCTATGGAGCTTTGTGTGAGACATCGCAATCTAGGAAATCCGTGTGAATGCATGTGATCTGAAACACTCCAAGTGTTGAACAGTCGGGTTCCTTGCATGTGTGTGTGTGTGTGTGTGTGTGTGTGTGTGTGTGTGTGTGTGTGTGTGTGTG